TCCCAGCCAGCCCGGCAAGCCGGGGCTCGTGTCCCGCCATGGGGCTGGGGCTGGGGCAGCCGCGCTCCCCCGGGGACGTGGGGGGATGCGGGGCAGCGGGGCCCGCCGGGCAGTGGGGCGCAGCAGTAGCGAGGGCAGAGCCCCGGGGCTGCACACACAGCAGGCGGGCAGCAAAGAGGCATGCTTCCCTGCATCAGGACCCACAGCGAGGGTGTGAGCGGGTCTGGGACACCCAGGGGTGCTCGTGTCCCCACACACAGGGCAGCGGTGGCAGCCATGTCCTGTGCAAACGTGGGATGGGCTGAGCTGGCCACAGAGGCTCTGCCTGCCTGCTCTGCTGTGCGGTTTCATCCTCGTTTGGGCAGCCAGGTACCTGCGGGCGCTCTCCCTTCTCAGCTGCATCCCTGGGGCTCTGCACAGCCCCTTGCTCTGCTGTGCCTGGCCCCAGGCTGCTCCAGGACCCACTGCAGCCCCCATCAGCAGCATGGCCCCAGCAGGGTTCAGGGCTGCACTGGGGCAGGGGCTGGGGAAGGACAGCCAAGAGGCTGCTCAGCCAGGCAGAGCCCCTCGCAAATGGGGGGTCTGGCCTGCAGACCCCTCTTGCCCTGCAGAGAGCCCCCCCAGCAACTGGTATGGGGTGGGTGAGCAGCAGGACACACTCCACAAGCAGCTTGAGCTCGGCACCGGCAGCTGCTGGGCCCAGCTCCATCGTCTGGCGCTGTGGCTGTGGCATGGTGGGGGCCGCCCACATGTGTCTGGGCTGGCTGCTCTGCCAGGAGAAGATGGCTAAATCCAGCTGCTGCAGGCCAGCGGAGCCTGTCCTGTGCTGGCTGCTGGCTGGGCAGCCAGGGAGGGTGCAGTGGTTTGGGCCGGGCCAGCTCTGGCAGAGAGGCGCAGGCAGCTGGGAGCACTCCCTGGCTCAGCATGCTGCGGTTCGTCGGTGTGGACGTGGCCCCGCCACGTGCTCCCGTGACTGCCGGCCATGGTTGTGGTGGCACCAGCAAATCTGGGACCCGCCAAGCTGGACGGGAGGCCCAGGAGCCAGTAGGACAGCCCAGCTCGGCGTCATGCCATGCTGTGCCACACCGCGTCAAGCCGCACTGCCTGGCCCTGCCTGCACAGACCGGTTCTGGCCGAGCTCTGCCCACTTGCTGAGGCTGCTTTGGCTGCAGGGGCTGCAGCTTGCAGGCAGTACCCCGGGGGTCCCTACCTGGACACCCAGTGTTGCCACAGGGAGCCGGGCAGGGGGGACGGGCCGGCTGCTCTGCTGATGGCAGCGTGCGCCCAGTGGTGCCTCCTCGGGAGCATGGCCGCATGGGGCTTGTGGTTGGTGGGAGGGAGGAGCTGGCGAGCTGCTCCCCTGGAAGCGCTGGATGTGCCTCCAGCAGGTTTGTCTGGAAGAAGCAGGTCTTGTCCTAACAGGTCCCCTGGCAGCCAGCACCAGCTCCTGCAGCTCCCTGGGCTAGGACAGCTCTGTGGGGTACAGGGGCTCCCGCTGCCCCTCTGCTGCCTGCACTGGGCTCTGCCCACCGCGGGTGTCATGACCCTGGTGCTGGGACACAGGACCCCTGGCAGGAGGATGCCCTGGGGGGGGCGGCATCCCTCCCTCTGTGCTGCTGCAGGAGAGCAGGGGTGGGTGCTGGGCCAGGGGCCAGCTGAGCCCCTGGGGACGGGGGAGATGCAGCCCACCCCGTCCAGTGGTAGCTGGGGCTCATGGAGCGAACGGGGAGGGGAAGAGGAGCAGGGTCCGGCACCACAGCACCTTGAGCCCTCACGGTGGCTTGCACCGAGTGGGGGCTCACAGGAGCCCCGGGGCCATCCTGGCAGGGATCCGGGAGTGGGCAGGGGGTTGGGGAAGGTCGGGGCGTCCCTGGGGCGCAGGGTGTCAGGGGTGAGGGAGTTGGCAGTGTGAGTCAACCCGACGTGTCCCGCTGACACAGCCGGGCCATCTGATTCAGAGCGGCTGCGGGAGAGGAAGGGCTTCCGGGGCCAGGCCACCCACGCGGGACGGGTGCGCGGGCGCTCTGTGACTCAGCCTGCAGCCTCTGCCCTGGCGGCCAGCACGGGCAGCCACTCGGGCCGCCCCATGAGCCAGGGTGGGCAGCTGGTCCCGGCACCCATCTCTCCCTGCCCCAAGCTCAGGGTCCCCACGGGGCTGGGCTGGGCCACCCACGCCGCAGGGCTGAGCCCCAGGGGGCTGTGCGCGGCCAGGCGAGTGCAGACCTGGCTGTGGTGCCCAGTGCTGGGCAGGGCTGTTGTGACGGGGCCGGGACAAGGCAGTGGCATCCCGGCAGTGGCTTGTGCTCACAGCAGCGGGGGTGCTGCCCTTGGGCGCTATCGCGGCTGTGCACGGTTCACTGCGGTGCAGTGCTGTGTGTGTCTGACTGCGTGGGGAGAGCCGGATCCAGCCCTGGCAGCTCCTGTGGGCAGCTTGACCAAGGTGCGAGGCTGGGACAGTGGTGCTGAGCAGAGGGGCCAGGAGCGAGCTGTGGCGCGGGGGCCCCGGGGGGTCGGGTGCTGACCCGCGTGGACTGCGCGAGGCTGATGCCTGTCGCTCTGCCTCCCCAGACTCGGCTGAGCGGGTTGTGCAGCGGTTCGAGGTGCCCGGCGTGTCCAACTACACGGCCCTGCTACTGAGCCCGGATGGTGGCACCCTCTACTTGGGGGCGCGTGAGCTGCTCATTGCCGTCAACACCAGCCATTTCCAGCCCGGGGCACCAGCTCGCAGGGTGAGCCCGCGGATGGGGGCCGAGCCCCATGCAGGACCACAGAGCCCCTGGGGCTGGGCTGCCCTCGGGGAGGGAAGGGGGCACCTAGCCAGCTCTGGTGCAGGGGTTCCCCTCCCCAGCAGCATCTGGGCTCTGTGTAAGCTGCCACACATTCGGGAGCCGCTCAGGACAGTGTGGAGGCAGGTGTCCCGGCCATCCCAGGCAGCAGGGTGCTTGGCCCCAGTCAGTGGCTGCCTCACCAGTGTGATTGAGGTGGGGAGGACATTGATGCTGGGGGCGAGCTCTGCCAGCCCAAGGCAGGTGGTGTGTGGGGACCAGCCGGTGATGGGGGGCTCCCAGTGACTGTCCCCTCTCTGCAGCTGCCGTGGAGTGCTGATGATGAGAAGAAGAGGCAGTGCGTGTTCAAGGGCAAGGACCCCCAGGTGAGCCCTGCTGCTGGTGGGCGTCTGGGGGCTGCAGCAGGAGTGGGCAGTGCCCCGTGCTGGGGTGGACACGGGCAGGAGGGCTGAGCCAGGTCCTCTCGCCCCTGCAGAGAGACTGTCACAACTACATCAAGATGCTGCTGCAGCTGAACAGCACCCACCTCTACACCTGTGGGACCTGTGCCTTCAGCCCGGCCTGCGCCTACATCGTGAGCACGGGGAGTGGGGACGGGGTCCAGGGGTCCCGCTGGGGATGCGGCTCCTCCTCCGCCATCGGGGCCCTGCAGTGGGGGTCCTGGGTGCTGGGACGGGCGCTAGCGGTGCTGCCGGCTCACAGCCCGGTCCCATTGCAGAATGTGCAGCACTTCAGCCTGGAGCGGGACGTGTCGGGGAAGGTGCTGCTGGAGGACGGGAAGGGACGTTGCCCCTTTGACCCCGAGTACCGGTCCACAGCCGTCATGGTCGGTAAGGCACGCCGCTGTGGGACCCTCGCCCTCTCTGCAGCCGGGCTGAACTGGGGCCAGGCCAGCATGGACCCCAGCGGGGGAGCAGAGCTGTGCCGGGTGGTGTGTGCTGGGTCCCAGCAGGAGTGTCTCTTTGGCAGACGGCGAGCTCTACGCCGGGACTGTCAGCAACTTCCAGGGCAATGAGCCGACCATCTACCGCAGCCAGGAGAGCCGCATTGCCCTCAAGACAGAGAACTCCCTCAACTGGCTGCAGGGTAAGAGCTGTGGCTGACATGGCGGGTCGGGGTCCCCATCCCCCTCAATGGGGGAGGCGTGGGGATGGGGGGGCCAGCCCCGGCAGCGGGGCGATGCTCAGGGTGCCTGTGTCCCCAGACCCAGTCTTCGTGGGCTCAGCCTACCTGCGGGAGAGCCTGCCTGCCGGCAACCCTGAAGGCGATGATGACAAGGTCTACTTCTTCTTCAGCGAGACGGGCAAGGAGTTCGACTACTTTGAGAACACCATCGTCTCCCGCATCGCGCGTGTGTGCAAGGTGGGCACGGGGCGGGGGGGTGTGCGTGGGGGGTTGTGCTCAGGATGTCATTCACCACTGGGGTGGGGGGGATGTGGGCCCACCCTGCACGTCTACATCCCCAGGTTCCTGGACACCCCAGCGCCTGTGGGAGACCCCTCTGGGGCAGTTAAGGCTCTGAAGTGCCCGCCCCGGGGCTGTGGCTCGAGCCTGCTGCTCCTGCCAGCCCCATTGGTGGCGGCAACCCTTCCCCATCTCCTCTGCCCCTTGGCAGAGGGGACACAAGCCCTGTCCTCCTCTCAGGTCGTGTTTCCCTTCCCCTGGGCGCCTCAGACACTGCTTGGCTTGTGCCTCCCCAACACCGGGGCTGCTCCACTGGGGCCTTGGCACTGCTGCATGGATGGACAGACCCCTGCTCCGCTCACCCAGCCCCGTGGGGCTCCCCACTGCTGGGCGGCCATAGCATCGTGCCCTGACCCACTGTGTCATGCAGGGGGACCAGGGAGGGGAGCGCGTGCTGCAGCGGCGATGGACGACCTTCCTGAAGGCACAGCTGCTCTGCTCGCACCCCGAGGACGGCTTCCCCTTCAACGTGCTGCAGGATGTCTTCGTGCTCACGCCAGGGGAGCTGCGCTGGAGGGAGACGCTATTCTATGGGGTCTTCACCTCGCAGTGGTGAGTGGCAGGTGGGGGACCCGGGAGAGCACTCTGTGGTGCCGTGGGGTGGTCATGGAGGTGCGGGCCACGCTCAGGTTCCTGGGGTGGTGCAGGGGACTCGGCGGAGCCAGGGTGCCTGATCTTGCCATGGGCTTTGCCTCTCCCCTGCCAGGAACAAGGGTGGCCTGGGCAGCTCGGCCGTGTGCGCCTTCCCCATGCGCAGCGTGCAGCGAGCCTTCGGCGGGCTCTACAAGGAGGTGAACCGCGAGACACAGCAGTGGTACACGGACACCGGCCCCGTGCCGGAGCCCCGACCAGGCATGGTAGGTGCCTCCTCGGTACTTGCCCGAGTGCAGGATGTGGGGCAGCCCCTCACAGTCACCCAGTCCCGCCGGCTACCACAGCACAGCCACCCACCCGCCCACTGCCCCGTGCCCTGGCCAAGCTCCTTCCTCTTTCCCCAGTGCATCACCAGCCACACGCGGCACCTGAAGATCAACTCATCCCTCCAGATGCCAGACCGAGTGCTGAACTTCATCAAGGACCACTTCCTGATGGACAGCCCCGTGCGCAGCCAGCCGCTGCTGCTGCAGAGCCGCCTGCGGTACCAGCAGATCGGCGTCCACCGCGCACAGGGCCTCCACAGCACCTACGACATCCTCTTCCTGGGCACAGGTGGGTGCAGCTGCGGGCTGCCGATGGGGCGGGTACTGGTGTGCTGTGTACCCCCGGCCCCATTTAGCACAGCCCTTGTGTTTGCAGATGATGGACGGTTGCACAAGGCTGTGCGCGTGAACCACGGGGTGCACATCATCGAGGAGATCCGCCTCTTCCCCGCTGGCCAGCCCGTTCTCCAGCTGCTGCTGGACCAGGACCAGGCAGGAGCTGGGCACAGGCGCACTGGGGCTGGGGCAAGGCGGGGGGATGCTGTGGGCTCAGCCTGCATTGGGCAGGTCTTGTTCGTGGGCTGGGGGCCAGGGAGCCTGGGAGGGCAGAGCTGTGCAGGGGCTGACCCTGCTGCATGGCTCTGGGGCTGTGGCTGCCCGCTGACCCCGCTGTGCCTCCTCCCATAGGGCCTGGTCTATGCAGCCACCTACACGGCGGTGGCTCAGGTGCCCTTCGCCAACTGCAGCCTGTACCGCAGCTGCGGCGAGTGCGTGCTGGCGCGGGACCCCTTCTGTGCCTGGAGCCGGGGTGCCTGCCGCAAGACCAGCCTGCACCCCCCAGCGCACCCCCAGTAAGTGCTGCACCCCCTCTCCATCCCCCTGCCCACCACAGCGCCCTACAGCACCCCGCTGCCCTGACCCCTCTCTGTCCCCAGGCTCTGGGCACAGGACATCGAGGACGCTGACACGGAGCGGCTCTGCCAGCTGGCCAACACCTCCCAGCCCCGGCCCCGTGTCCTCCTGCCCCCAGGTGAGCTCCTGCAGGTGCTGCCATGCCAGCCCAGGGTGTCCTGGGGGCTGCCACAAGCCCCAGGCTCCTGCTCGGCACCCCCCATCACCCTCGCACCTACCGCTGGGGTCCCCACAGCCTCGCTGACTTCCCCATGGGTTGTCTCTCTGCAGTCTCGGGCGCCTCATGCCAGCGGATCCAGCTGCCGCCCAATGCGGTACGGCCGCTGCCGTGCCGGCTGCTCTCCAACCTGGCCTCGCGGCGCTGGCTGCACGATGGGGCGCCCGTCAATGCCTCCTACCTGGTGCTGCCCGATGGGGCCCTCATCCTGGTGGGCAGCCCCGAGCGGGCAGGTACCTATGAGTGCTGGTCGCTGGAGGAGGGCTTCCGCAAGCTGATGGCCAGCTACTGTGTGAGTGTGCAGGAGCCAGCCCGTGGGCTGCCGGACCCCAACAGGAAGGTGGCTGCTGGCCGGGACGCCCTGGAGACTGTCAGCACGTCCCGGAGCACCTCAGCGGTGGGCAGTGCTGCAGCCCGGTTGGACGGCAAGACCTACTGGACTGAGTTCCTGGTGATGTGCGTGCTCTTTGCCGCCGCTGTCTTTGTGCTGGCCCTCTTCCTCCTGCACCGGCACCGTGATGGCATGAAAGCCTTGCTGGAGCCCGGTGACCCTGGCCGGCACCAGAAGCCGCCCCGCAAGCCGGTGGAGAGCCTTCCCCTGAATGGCAGCAGCCTGCCCAACGCGGCGTCTGAGCACAAGGGCTACCAGGCTCTGCAGGACAACTACATCGTCAGCACCCCTGTGCATGAGCCCCCAGGCCCCCCACGCGCCTTCTCCGAGTCAGAGAAGAGGCCCCTCCACATCCGGGACAGCTTCGTGGAGGTGTCTCCCGCCTGCCAAAGACCCCGGGTGCGCCTGGGCTCCGAGATCCAGGACTCGGTGGTGTGACGGGGACAACAGCCGAGCCCTCGCCCACGACCGCCTCTGCTCTGCTGAGCCTCGCCGGACCGCAGCTCTGCAGCTGGGGTCCGTCTTGTCTGTGTGTGCATGCCTGGAGCCCGTGCCCTGCTGTGGCACCGACCCAGCCGCTGGGGCTGGCCCCACCTTGTCCCATTGGGGCTTGGCTCCTCCAGGAGGTCCCTGGGCGTCATCTTGGCTGCTCCGGCCCCGCTCCTCAGGACGGTGCTGGCAGCTCCAGGTGTGAGGGGTGCTGCATGCCTTCCAGGGACGTGCGGGACTTTTCCCCCAGCCCGGTGTTCCCGCTGCGGGGATGGACACGGTGCCCAGCTCAGGCTGCTGGTGCGGCCCCCAGCTCTGACAGCTCTGTGGGGCCGTAGCCCCCTCTATGCAGAGGGCAGGAGGGGGCAGCCGCAGCCCCCTCGCACCCCGACTCACTGTGATGTCCCACTGTGGGACCCAGAGCCACGTGTGCGACCGGGCGGTGCCGGTGCAGCAACCCCGCGGGATGTGCTGTGTGTCTGTGCTTGGTTCGTTTTTAATACGTCGAAAATGTGAATCGTGTCCCGGGGAGGGTACGGGGAGCGGCGCTCGCCCTGCACCGGGCTGGGCAGCGACTCACCCCCATGTCCCCATGTGCGTGTGCAGAAACGTTTGTGGTTTTTATATAAAGTCCAAGTGTCTCCTTTAGACATGTGTGTGCAGCTGTGGCAGGGCTGGGCACCTTCCCGGGGCCAACTGTGGCCAGGACCATCCTGGCGGCTCTGTGGAAAGGAACTGTGTCCGGCTCTCGCTGTGGTTGGGGGGAAAACCTGCCCATGGCCGGCTGCTCCTTGCCCAGGTGGGGACAGACAGGGCAGGAGGGTTGTGCTTGCGGTCAGATTTCCTGCAGTCTGCAGTGTCCCCATGTGCTTGGCCAAGCATTGGGCTGGGGCACACAGGGCCCCACAGGGCGCTGGCTGTGTACCCATGCAGTGATGCTGCCCAGGGCTGGTGCGAGAGAGTCCCTGCGACCCCGCTGTCAGGGTGTCATGCATCCATGGCAGCGAGCTCAGGCAGCACTCAGCTGTTTTGGGGCTGTACATGGAGGTGCATGCTGCGGTGGGCAGTCTGGTGGGGGCAGAGTGGCCCCCACAGTGGTGGAGGTGGGGAGGCTGCAGAGAAATGGGGTGAAGCCGTCCCAGCACCACAAGACGTGGAGGAAGGCAGAGGTGACCAGGAGGAAGAAAAGTGAGTGCCTGGGGCTGTGGCAGGCCGCTTCCCTGGGACCATGGTGTTGTGCTGCACATGGGACCCCACTGCCAGCCCAGGGCGCAGGCAGCTCCGCATCCCCATCCTGCACAGCTGCAGGCAGACCCCAGCCGCTTTGCCAGCAGGACCTGACTCCATGACAGCTGATGGCCAGGACCAGGACCTACACTATGCCACTGCTCGTGAGTCCTCATGCACCTTCATGCCTGGGAAGCATCAGCAGCACGAGCATGGGGCTGGGGGAAGCGGTGAGCTCCACACCAAGCTGGCGTGTCAGGGCAGGCTTTCCCCCAGGGACCAGCACTACCTCGCTCCCGGCTGGACCAGCACACCAAACTTCCTGCCCAGCCTGTTCTGGGACATCAAAAAAGCCACCGGAGGCGTTGGCTGGTGCTGTGCCAGCAGACACGGCCCCCGGGGCCGCAGGGGCACAGACTGTGGCGGGCAGATACCATCAGCACCGTGGGGCACCAAGCTGGAAGGGCCAGCACCGCCGGGAGCAAGGAGCCGGTACGTGAGAAAGAGCTGCGCCGGCACCCCGAGACGGCCATCAGCCGCTCCACCCCGGTGCTCCCGCAGGGTGAGCCGGACCCCAGGCACCATGCTGGCCCCACCTGGCATGTGGTGCTGCTGCAGCCCGGACATGGTCTTGCAGAGCGGCTCTGGCAGGAGGCTTGCCGGCATGGTGGGAGCGCTGCTGGGGTGGTGGGGCTGGCCAGGGGCTCGCTGCAAAGCGCAGACAGGGCTGTTGCCTGTGGCTGGCAGCGGGCCAGGCCAAAGCCTGATGGATGAACAGACACAAAGGGCTCCGGCACTGCCCGCAGCAAAGGTAGCTGCTTGCCTGCCCTGGATTTCCCTTTGTGGCTCTTGCTCGAGAGCTGAGCTCTTTGTGCTGCTGAGAACAATCCCCGGTTTTGGAGGAGGGAGGTGGCCCACGGAAAGGGCTGTCACCGAGCAGGACGTGGGACCCGTCCCCTGGAGCTGTGGCTGGCGTGCAGGCAGAGGGGCCTGGCAGGAGGCTGTGTCCCCAGCACCCCTCATGGCATGGGTCCCGCAGCACTGCCGGAGCAGCCCCCTCCGCCGTCCCCACGGCAAGACAAAGGCGGCACAGAGCACAGGGTGAAACCAGAGCCCTTTATTTGTGTCCTTGCCGGAGCAGAGGGAGGAAGAGGCCAAGGGAGGCAGAGCAGCTGCTGAGCCTGAGCCAGAGGAGGGGGCAGAGAGGAAAAGAGGACGAAAAAGAGAGCAGGCCCCAAGCATTGTCAGTGCCGAGGCAGTGCAGGGTCAGCCTGGCTGCCTGCAGGGCTGTGCTGCGCTGGTCAGGGGAGGAAGGCGTCTTGTGCAGCTGTGGCAGGACAGCTCTGCTGCCAGGATGGCACATCTACAGTGCCACTTGGGTTATTGCTTAGAGAAACAGATCCGCGTTTGGGTTATTGCTTAGAGAAACAGATCCGCGTTTGGGTTATTGCTTAGAGAACTGTATCCGTGTTGCAGCAGGGACGCCCCCAGCGAAGAGGGGAGAGCCAGGCAGGGACTTGGCGGGGGGAGGCAGCTCCCTGCCTGCTAGTGGAAGGCACGAATTGGTACTGAGGGCAGAGAGGAGCTGTGCTTGCTGCAGTGTGGCCCCCAGCCAGGACCACCTCTGTGCACCTCCCCCCACCCACAGAGCTGCCCTTGGTTTGCATAAGAAGTTAAAATCCAATCCTGGGATAGCAGAGTGGCTGCAAGCAAGGCAGCTTCCCAGGGCCCCACCGCTGCAGGCTGCAGAGACATCTGCCATCTCGCCTGTCGGGCATGAATGGGGAGCAGGAGGGTGTCCTGCCTAAGGCACTGTGTGGCACTGCCAGGCTGGTGAGGAGCGGGGGCCTCTGCTGCTCACTGAAAGAAGAAACGTCTTCGACCATGAAGAGCTGCAACAGCCGGAGGAGCCGTCCTGCTGGAGAGCTGCAGGGCTCTCACAGGACAATCTTGAAGGAGCTGCAAAAGACATGGCAGGTTCCGCACCTTCTCACTGGGTCACACGCAAGTGGTTTGCGAGCGCCCAGTGCTACAGGGATGCAGCATTGCCCTGTGCAGGAGAGGCTCTCTGCAGAGCTAGCAGGAAATCCAGTTCCCTCTGCTGTTACGGGAGACCTCGTACAGGGTAGCCTTGCCTTACTGCCACCGAGAGCTCTGCCCCAATGCCAGCACAGTGATCGGGGCAGATGAACCCCCCAGACAGGCCCCCCAGGACAAGCTGCGCCACTGGAGACCACCATACCTGGCAAAGTCCGGGGAGCGGGAGACAATGTGCTGGAACTCGGCGAGGTTGATGGTACCATCCTTGTCGATGTCGGACTCCTCCAGGATCTGGAGGGGAGGGAAAGGCGAGTGCTGAGCTGTGTGGCCAGGACTGTGCAGCAGCCTGTGCCCTGCCTGACAGTCCTCACGTTTCGGATGAGCTGTTCCATCTCTGTGTTGCTCAGCCGGGACTCCTCGCCTTGCCCCGTCAGACAGTTCACTAGTTTCTCCAGGTCCTTTCTGTCCAGAGTCCCATCATCATCAAAGTCTGTGGGGAGAGGAAAGTTATGTTTCGGCAGGGCTGCACTGACCCCAGAGAGTCATGAGCACCCATGCTCAGAGAGGAGAGGGCCTGGGTGACCTCAGGACACGGCAGGCTCCATGCCACACTTCTCAGTGCACATTATTGCACCAAACCAGCAGTTCCCAAAAGCTGCCATCCCTGTAGGTGCTCTAAGGGCACTGCCAGCCCTCCTGAACATGGATTCATCCCTGCCCCCACCTTGAGGTGGAGGGACCCCCGAACATAGCATCTGCCCCCAGCCTTACCAAAGATGCGGAAGGCATAGTGGGATTTGATGTCTGAGGTAGCAGAGTCGCTGAAGACGCTCAGCATATCAAGGAAGTCTTCAAAGGACATGCTGTCATCCCTGTCATCTGAGGTGGAGAACACCCGGCAGATCCGGTGCTGGAAGGGGTTTGCCTGCCAACACGGGAATGGCTCAGGGCAGGGCTGGGCAGTGCCAGGCTGTCTCCCTCAACAGTAGAGACTGGCCACAGGCTGGTGCCAACCCTGCGGACGAGTGGGTACCCCACTCTGCCGCTGGTCTGTTGTGCACAGCACGACCGTGCCAGTCCTGTGCCTCCCCAGGACAGCAGCCTCACGCAGCAGGGATCTCTGGGCTCCTCCACAGCGGGGCAGGGATGAGGAAGCTGTTTGTTGGCACAGCTGACGTGCGGTAAGTGAACAGCTTCCCCAGGTGACTGTTGGAGCAGCACGTCGAGGGCAGAGCACTGGCACCGCGGCGGGTAAACATGGCCCTGCCCAAACACGTCCAGACCTAGGGAGCAGCAGCGAGTCCCGCTGGCTGCCAGGCACCCTACCCGCAGCTCTGGCAACGTCAGGATCTGGCTCTTGGGAACCCGTGCGGAGCAGGCATTCTCCCTCTCCTCCTTTGGCAGCAGTTCACTGAACCTCTTGTAGGCACTTGAAGAGGCAAGAACAAGAGACGCTCTGTGGCGTGAGGGGCGCAGGAGGCAGCCCTCTGGACACGGGCAGTGCAGGCAGCTCTGCCCAGCGCTGCACCGAGGCGGACGGCCCGTTTCCCACAGCTCCCTGCCAGCTGTGTGCGGAGCCGGCCCGGGGGGGTCCCCCCACGGCAGTGTCTCCCCCCCACCTGCTCCCGGGACCCTGAGGACCAGCAGCGAGGGGAAAGAAGCCAGCCCTGCTGCCTGCCCACCCAGACGGCTGGCACTTCCGAGGGGGAGAGAGCCGCCGCCGGGCTGGCCCCGCAGCACCCGCAGACCTTCCCCCCCCACCCCGAAACCCCGCCGGTGGGAGAAGGCCAAGCTCCGGTTGCGGCCCCTCCGGTCTCCTGCCTGACGTCGAGGGGAAGGGAAGTCGAGGCGGCGGGGCCGGGGCCTTCCGCGCCCCCACGGCCGAGGCGAATCCCCTCATGGCGGCCGAGGGGAGCGGGCTGGCCCCGGAGGTATGAGGGGCCCGGGGCCAGCACCCCTGCCCCAGCAGTCAGGGCCGCGTGCCCGCGCCCCCCGGTAGCACTTACAGCAGGATCTCCTGCTTGCTCAGGAACGTCAGCTCCTGCGGGGAGAGCGCAGGTCAGCCCTGGGGCCGCGGCACCCCCCGTTCCCGTCCCGTCCCCCATTCCCGGTGCCCCCGCACCTGGTACTCGCCCAGCGTCTCCCGTGGCAGCAGGCTGGCCGAGCCCCCCATAGCGGCCCGCGCCGCTTCCGCCTCGCACGTCACTCACTCTGCCGCTCCCAAGGCAACGCCTCGCCCCGGGGCGGGACCGCCCCGCCCTGGGGCGGTGACTGACGGCAGCGCGGCGAAGCCGGGGAGCGACCGGTTCCCGGCATGGCGGCGGCGAGCGAGGCGCCGGGCGACCCCAGCCCCGAGGACTTCGTCTATGGGGAGGAGGACTTTGTCCTGCAGGGAACTGGCTGGGGGGGCGAGCCGGGCTCCGCGCCCTCCCGCTTCGACCGGGCGCTGCTGGAGGGCTGGAGCGACAGGATGGAGCGGGGCTTGTTCCGGTACCGGCTGGGGCCGCTGCCCACCCGCGTCCTGCCCGGCCCCATGAGCCTGGTGGCCCAGCTCAACGTCCAGCGCGGCACCGAGCGCCGCCCGCCGCAGGCCGTCCTCAGCCTCCGGCAGCCCTTCGACCCCCGGGCCTTCAACTTCACACGGATGCGGCCCGGCGAGGTGCTGCTCCGCCTGCGCAGGGCGGCGGACGAAGGAGGAGGAGGAGGAGGGGGTGGGGGTGCCGCGGCCCCCGACTACCTCCTGGTGGCCATCAACGTCAGCCCGCTGGAGCAGGGCCACGTCCTGCTGCTGCCGGAGCCGGACCGGGGGCTGCCGCAGGCCCTCACCGCCCCGCTGCTCCGCGGGGGGCTGGAGGCGGCGCTGCTCAGCGCCCACCCGGGCTTCCGCCTGGGCTTCAACGGGCTGGGGGCCTGCGCCTCCCTCAACCACCTCCACCTGCACGCCTTCTACCTGGCCCGGCCGCTGCTGGTGGAGTCGGCGCCCGCCCAGCCCCTCTGCCCGGCCCGCGGCCTCAGCCTGCTGCGGGACGTCCCGGCGCCCGCCTTCCTCTTCTACGCCGCCGGCCCCGCCGGCCTGGAGACGCTGGCGCGGGACGTCTGCCGGGCGGCGGAGCACCTGACAGACACCGGCCTGGCCTACAACGTCTTCGTCACCCGCGGCGACCCGCCGGAGGGGGCCGGGGCCGGGGCCGGGGCC